CATTATTAAACGGTCATTTATTTAGAAAGAATATCACAATGCAGGCAAGTTGTCCTTGTAGTTCAAACTATATGAATCTAGATCATGTATTATGGGAATGTAACTTATATAGTTCAGGTAGACAGGAAATGGCTTTAGAGTTAACGGGGAAATTTCAAGTAGGACCTGTGGATAATATGCAGAAGATATTTGTCGAAAACAAGCTAGAAATCATGAAAATAGTTGATAAATTTCTGGTTAAAAATAATATTAAACTACGAGGGGGCTTCGCCCCCTGCTCGCTCCGCTCGCTAACCCGGGGGGGGCTTCGCCCCCCCCCCCGGCCGTGTGACCGCAGCGGTGTTTCTTCATCTTTATGCCCCCCCCCCCTCATATAGACATCCCTTATAAATACAGCCCCTGAACTTAAGCGTCCCCTGAATTTTTCGCCTTATTTTTTTATTTATATAAACAGATATTAATGTAAACACAATATTTTCCGTCACTCAGGGCCATCTAGAGCTGATTGGTGCGTCGATGGGGGAGTACGTGATGCCAACGGGATTTGTTTTCGACATGGATATCTGCGATTTGATAGACGAACCCGTGCTGATCGGCCCCTTCCTCAAGAGTATCGGTTTCACACCTGAGGACTGTCCGCCGCCGACTGTAAACACGACTTCACGCGTCTTTTATCGTTGAACAGTGATTATCTGAATAAAAGTGTGTGATTTTTTTCAGGGGGTTTACACCACCACGGAATATCGACCGCCCATGGAGGAGCTTCCGCCAGAGTTGCGCCCTAACAAGTACAAAGTCATTTTCGATATGACTGATGACGACACAATAATGTTAAGGGTGGTTTTCTACGTTGAAGTTCAGTAAACGCTGGGTGAGGCAGTGAACTGAGATGAGGGACGGCTATCGTGGGGCAACCGCACGGAATTTATTTTGAATAATGTCAAGTTTTATTTGTAATCATTTCAGGAAATTCAATAGAACTAATTGATGCACCAAATGGAGGAGAATTAATTAGAGTATCAATTAAATGGAACGAGGAATGCAATAAATGATATTAATAAGAAAGTATGAATGCAGTAAAGTTTAAATTCAACAATTTTGTTAATTAGTTTCAATCAAATTTGTTCATTAAGTTTCGTAAGAAAAATTTGGGACAAATCATGGAGATTCAGCGTCATTACAATTACATTTTGCACTGAATTATTAATTTTTTAAACGGCTGTTGTTGATGAATAAATAATTGAAATTATTTAAACTCTCGGAAATTTTATTTTTTGAGGCATGAAATGGATTTTTGGTAAAATTAAGAATATGAATAAATTTGTTACGATTCAGAACAAATGATTTTTTATGTTTAAAGTTGATTCTTTATAAATTATTTCTCAAAAATGCTCGTAATTTTAAAAAATTGCAATTTTTCAATTATTTCATAAATTTTCCTCAAAAGTAAACTTTCTATTTTTTTTAGATTTGTAAATTTTTTTCTAACGGTTCAATATCGAGATTTAAATTCAGACCTGCAAAGTTTAAACAATAAAATCATTGTGAAAATGTCTGGAAACTTACGGTGAAATTGTGCTCAAATAAAAGCTCTGATATTCGATTATAAAACTATAAAATCATTTGAGTGGAGAAAAAGTATCCAATGCCCTTGGATATCCTTAATTGCAAGTGAATATCGTTTAGATAATCAAGTAAAAACGAAAAAAAAGAAAAACAACACAATTGTCCTCGAGGTGTGACTTGTGTACCAACGCGTGTCCACTCACAAAAAAACCCAGAATGAAGAGAAAGAAAAGACGCGAAAAAAATAGTGGAGGAGGGGGCGAGAGAAAAGGAGCGTCCCTTGGGACTGGGGGAGCATAATGAAAACCGACGGCATCCTCTTGTCAGTCTCGGAGTGAACAAAGCCAGTGGAACACAAACTGTCGACTGCCTCGCTCGGGCTACTGTCATCTAGCGTCAGCCTTTTTTCCAACTCCAGTGTAACTTTTCATCTGCAAAAATACACTGTTTCGGTGGAACAAAACGAAAATCGAGAAAAAAAATTGATTCAGATTTAATTTGGAAAATCGATCGATTTTTCCGATTTTCATTTCTTCCTTTTAAGTATTTTTTTATTGATTCAACCTACAGTTTTTTTTTATTGAGAAGAAAAAATTTTTAATGTTGTCTTTTCATTCAGAATTTCAATGTAATTTTTATTTAAAAATTGAATAATATTTCCTCAAATAAAGAATGCTATTTAACTGAATTATTTGCTATTCAACTATTATCATTAATATTATTATTATTATTTATTGACATTTAACTGAACATTTTTAACTAAAAAAATAATTAATTCTCTTCATGGATAATTGAGAATTGTCTGCTGGAATGACGAATAATAATTTTCTTGAATATAAAAATTTCTTATCATTAAATTCCGCAGTTTCTCCATAATTTCCTTGAAAACAATTATTTACCCACAGTTTTCCATTCTAAAGCAAGACTTTCTATCCTAATTAACCATTCACCGATTTTCGATTGATAAAAAATTGCAAAAATAAATTTAACAAAACTGAATCTGATCTGACTTCAGATTTTTTTTAATAAAGAAAAAAAAATTGAAAAATATTCGCAAATTGAAAAATACTTTCCAATTTTATTTTTGAAAAATAAAATTGGAGAATATCCTCTGAAATGAAGAATGACAAGCCTTTTTACCTGGAAAAATGAAATTAATTCTCCTCATGAATAATCGACAATTGTCTCCTGGACTAACAAACAATAATTTTCTAAAAAAAATCTTATCACTAATTCCCCAGTTTCTCCACAAATTCCCTCAAAAAAATTATTTACCTAGTCCTCCATTCTAAAGCAAGAATGGAGTCCACTCGGCATACTCATTCACCCCAAAACCCTCATTTCGTTGTTCTTTCTTGCTCGCTTTTCTCCGAGTCCGTTTGTTCTTTCAATTGCGAGAGAGAGGAGGGGACGAGTTTTCACGGTCGGACGGGAATGAAATTGTGGGAGAAAGAAAGTTAGGTGTCCTCGGCACTTTCCCTGCGGCCATTCTTTCGCACTTTTCTCTACCCCTGGTGTTTTTTTTTTGTTCCCGAAGCCTCACACCTCTGCCCCCGGGCACACCTCACACCTATTTCTTTCGCTCCCCCTTGCCTTCGTAAATCATCGCACTTGGCGGTTCACGGGGGTCCGCCATTTTTTCCCCACTCTTGATGGTTTTCAATGAAGTTAAAGGAACACTCAATGGTGTAATTACACATTTATGAGGGCAAGAGGAATGGGGTAAGTTTTGTACACAGTTTATTATCTTCGGCTAAAACTCATAATTTTGTGACCGGAATTTTTTTCCCCGAAAAAAATGCCTCGGAAAAAATTTCCCCGGAAAAAATTTTCCCGAACAAAAATTTCCCCGAAAAATGTTTCCCCCCTACAAAGATTGATTAGTATTCGAGGTATTTTGTGGGGGAATTTTATTCGGGGAAATTTTTGTTAGGGGAAATTTTTTCCGGCAAATTTTCGTTGGGAAAATTAATTCCGGGAACCCATAATTTGAGAGAAAAATCAGTCTGATGTCTGTTTTTACCATCTGACACCTTAAATTCAGATAGCTGTCAGGCACCTGGTTTTTGTAGTGGAGGAAGAAGAAAAAGATATTTCAAGCGTAAAATACACTGAGAAAAAAAATTATTTATATCAATTCTGTAGTGAAGTGGTAAACTTGAATTCAAGTTCCGAATACTGAAAATTTAACTGCATCTGTTACTTAAATTTCAGGAAATTTCTAACAGTGTACTTCCCTCAAATATATTTGGCAAAAATAATTGTTTTCTCTCGGTACACGATCGTTTTTTTTTGATAAATTGCGCAAAAGTAAATCGGAAAATTCGTTTCTATTAAGGGAAACCTCTCCCCTCCGCCTCCCCTCCCCCCTCCCCCCGCGACAGCTGAGTCTACAGGACAGAGGGACACCGAGAGATAAGGAGGATGGAAAAAAAAAATCACCGGCCGAATTACTCGGTGCAAGCCCCACACACACCTTTCGTTCTTCTGGTGTCGCCCCCGAACCCTTTCTCCACCTCCAACGTTAAACTGGCTGACCCGAATTTCCGATTCTACCGGGATTCGTCTCCCCCGCTGCACACAACCCTTTGATTAGCTCGGGACGATATTGACTTCCTCGGTACACAAAACCAATCGACCGTGGAAAAATTGTACGCGGGGGAGGGGCAAAAAATTATTGGGGTGAATGATTAATGACTGTTGACTGGGTTTATCCTTCCTCTGGGAATTTCAATTGTTTTTGGGAGCGGGGGGGAGGGGTTGAGGTGTTTGGAGGGGTTTTTGACGGTCAGGAAAGGGAGGAGGGCCCATCGCAAAGGAAAAGGAAAAATATTTTTCGTTAAAATAACGATTAAAAAAAAAAAAAAAAAAAAAACTAGTTTTCGCA